CAAATGTGATTTTAATGAGAGACAAGACTGACTTTGTTAGCTTCAGAGGGCAGGACCGGAGATGAGAAGTCACATTTTAGCTCAATATTAGGAAAGACTTTTGAACGGTCAGAAAGTGGAATGGGCTACCAAGGGAGACTGAGCTCCCTATGCCCGGAGCAGAAGCCGAAGCCACACAATGCCTTGTTAAGGACGCTCCTGAGAGGGAGTGGAACATCAGAAGATGAGCAAAAGAAAAGTGACTGTATTGGGTAAGAAACAGCATTAATAATCTTGGAAGAGAGGTTTGTGTTAAGAAGAGTTTTAGGAAGAATGAAATGAAAGGTGAGTTCTACATTCAAAACAAAGCAGACTGACAGCAAACAGAGGTAAAGATCACACATTCGAAGAGATGACCAGCAAAAAAAAAAAAGCCCTTACTTCAAAATTTGACTCAAAACATCTCCAGAAACTCTTACAAGATTAGTACCAATAGAATGTGGTTTCTGAAGACAAGAAGGGCACCTTCTACCTCTGAGAATGATACCACAGAGAAATACATCCATCTCATAAAATAAAAAGAATATACTGTGGAATTAGACAAATTTGGTTTCACACAAAGACTCCACCACCATAGGGCCTTCGGCAATTCTGTCTTGAGCTCTAGTATTTTCTTTAAAAGGCAGTGATCTGGTTTTGAAGTCACAGTATAAAGCTATAGACTTCCTTAAGATTTCATGCATCAACAATGGCATAATATTTAAAGCCAGTAATCACATAGCACAAAAGTCTTAAATGAAATCACTCAGACTGATGTAGGTAAGGAAATTCACTTCTGAGAAAAAAAACAACAGATCATCAATTTTCATTTGCACCAATGGTGTTTTAGCTGGGTCAGTATAGCAAGAGAAAACTGGGGATTTCAAGAAGATAATCCAGAAGAGCAAACAGATAATCTTTCCTGTAACAACTCTTGTGCAAATGTCAGGGTTCCCTAGGTGTTTATTGAGCAGATACTGTGTGTACGTACTTGCGAGCACTTTGGCTCCCAAGCAGCCTCTAAGTCTGGAAGCAGCAGAGTCACACCTATGTGTGCAGAAGTGAACACTGACTGAGCTCCAACTGTGTACCGAGCTCTAAAAGAAATGTTTCATTTAAATACTAATCACTTGAGGCATTTTTTTGTTTGTTTTTAAATTAATGAGGTAAAGGGAAGCTCAGAAAGATTAAGTAACTTGCCCAAGATTTAACAACTAGTTGGTGTTGCTGCAAGGACATGGTAGCAGAATCTCTGACTACAAAGCCTATGCTCTTCCTTCCGTATCTAAAGTTTACTGAGGGGGCACCTGGGTGGCTCAGTCATTAGGCATCTGCCTTTGGCTGAGGTCATGATCTCTGGGGTCCTGGGATCAAGCCCCGCATCGGACTCCCTGCTCTGCGGGAAGCCTGCTTCTCCCTCTCCCACTCCCCCTGCGTGTGTTCCCTCTCTCGCTGTGTCTCTCTCTGTCAAATAAATAAATAAAATCTTAAAAAAAAATAAAATAAAAAAATAAAATAAAGTTTACTGAGGAGGATTTTTGCACTAGATGATGGGGTATTAAAGCAGTGGTTTTTCCAATGTTAATTAGTGACACAATTTGTACCAATCCTTAGCAAAATGAGAAACATAAAAAGGATATGTATATAAAATTATAATAAACACACACACACATGCATGCACATCCAGATACAAATTTTGGAGTAAGGTTGCCGACTGTCCGTTTTTGAAAAAGACCTTTATTCTGAGATTGTCTTTGCACTTTTTGACATTAAAATTTTCTTTGCTTTTATAAAATAATGGTAACAGCAGATGCTAGTTTTCTTTATAAATGACCTTACTAATTAAAAAATAAAGTTCTAATCCATCAACCCCCTATTTCTAAGGCCCACAGGCAAAGGGTACAATGCATGGGATCAGAAGACCTGAGGATGTGTTTTAGTTATGCTATCTACTGATGATCTTGGTCAAGGGACCTAACTTCTCTGAGTCTCAGTTTTCTCATCTATAAGATGGGCTTGATAATAATATCTGTTTCACACAATTAACACATTAATTCATAAGTTTGTAAATTATATATAAGTGCTGCTGAAGTGAGCATATGTTTGTAAATTGTAAAGTACCATAGAAAGGTAGTGATTATCATAAGTTTATGGTTACTGGAAAGGGCTTAACTGTATTTCTTTAAATTTTCCTCCAAAAATAGAATTATCAAAAACTCTTTAATGTCTATCCTTGGCTTTTATTATAACACACTATTTGCATTTTAAAATATGGAGTTTTTCTCACTCTGATAACCACACTACAGGAAGCCTGCTGGTATAAACATACTAACATACCACGAGTATAGTCCCTGTGCACCTGTTTGTATCTAGGGAAAAGAAGAAGGTGCTCCCAGAATTCAAACATATGGCGAAGAAAAGTTAGTACCTGAGAGTGTAACTAGTAAGAGTCATCATTATACTATGGATTGAATTAGCAATATGTAAAAGAATCCACCCTAAGACACAGTCTGCATGATGCTGAAGGGACTTGGAAAAGACCCCGTCTCAGCCAGGGTAACCATACTGCCTTTTCCAGTACAGGGATGGGATGGAATGCCATGGGGAACACGGGACTAAAGAAACTTAACTCAGGCACTAGGTTATAATCTATCTCAAACAATGATGTACTATTTGGAAAATGAGACAAACAGCAAGATTCTGGTTGGGTTTTATTCTGAACTGTCTGAAGAAAAAAGAGTCTAATTTGGTGGTCATGAGTATTCTGGTCATTAGGGAGCTGTATTATATTGGAATAGGAACAGTTTGTGTAAATTGAATAAAATACCCCTTAACATTGCTCAGTTTCATCTGTGGTGATTCTGAGTTTATCAAGCAACCTCATGATGTCCGTTTGGTTGTGTGGGTACCTGATGCCAGATGGAGACAAGAGGCTGCCAGGCACCAGAGCGGAGTAGCTCCCTCGTAAATGAACAAACTGCCTATCCAGTTTAAGAATCCATCTCTTTTGAAATGGTAAGTGGAAATTAGTTTCCTTAAAGCCCAATGATTTCTGACAGAACTGATGAAACTAATTTTCTAAACCTGCAAAGGTGAAGGTCACAACTTCCCCTCTGAGGTCTAGCTTGCTTCTCTTAGACATCATTTTTTAAATACAAAACCACTTAGAAGGAAACACAGATTTTGTAATTCCTAAGTATGCTAATCCAACCTACACAGGAAGGCAAATGCCACATTTCATTACTTTAACAAATATTTACTGTACACAGAAATATACTTATATAGGACATGATACATAAGAAGTTCACAGTCTGATGGGAAATAAGACACACAAGCATTCACATCGTATGAAATGTGCCTTGACAAAAAGTGGGAACAGGACAGCGTACAGAGCAACTAAATGCCTGGAGACCTTTGTGAATGCTTCACAGAGGAGGTGATATTTAAGCTGGATCTTGGAGATGCGTAAGGGTCGTTGACAACAAGCAAAGAGTACATAGGGGCTATTCCCAGCCTGTGCAGACACGGAGGCTCCAAGAGCATGGCATGTGAGGGAAATGGTGGAAGGCTTATACATCCTGCTATGTAGAGCAGCGGTAGATGGTACCACTTGGAGACAAAACTAGGGCCAAATTGCCACATCTCCTATACTATGATACCTGGAGTCTCCCTATAGGTAACACAGAGCCACTGAAAACTTTAAACATAGGCAACTTCTGATCAGATCTGATTTTAGAAACAACTCTTCGGACACAAAATATATTGGTAACAGGGGTTGCTTCTGCTTTTAAAATTTTGTACCAATTACATGTATTATCTCTCTCCTACACAAACACATATACACTCTCTCTCTCTCTCCATACACAAACAGAAGTAAAGGACTAGATATTGGAAATTCAATTATGAAGCTACTGTGATTGCCCAAGCAGAAATGAAGAAAGTCTGAATTCAGGCAGTGGCAGAAGGAATAGATGAAGAGATAAACAGATGCAACAGGTCTTGGATACAGTGGTGACCGGGTGAGTTGTGATGCCATTAAGAGACAGCAGGGATATAGGAATTAGAAGCAGTTCAAGAAATAGGATGAAAATGAGGACAAGTTCAATTTTGGATATGTGCAATTTGCAGTGCCTATGGCACACTGAGATAGAGACCACTAAAAAAGTGGAAATAAGATCTAGAGTTGTAGAGTATGTCCTAACTGAAAATAGAGATTTGGAGTCACTGTTATATTCAAAAGTATCTGAGACACCAAGAAATAACACAAAGAGGGTTAAGAAGAGGGATAAGAAAAAAAGACCAATGTTAAGATCCTGGGTAATCCAACAAATAAGGGGCAAAGTAAAGAATAAGTGAAAGAAATCGAAAAAGATGTCCTGAGGACAGGAAGAGAGCCAAGAACAAGTGATACCCCAGAAGCCAAGAGGAGAAGGAACAGAGTTTCAAGAAGTGGGGAGTTGTGCATAGATCCAAATGCAGCAAAGTGGTTAAGAAGGATGAGTACTACAAAGTCATTCACACTGGCAATTATACATTGACCGATAATGTCAAGAACTGTTCAGTACAGCATAGCTCAAACTGTGGTTGTAGAATGGAATTTTAGGAGAGGGCCTGGTAGGTATTTCTATTATTCCAAATCTTTAAATATTATTGGGTTAGCGTAAATAGAAGTTATCTTGCTTTTTTTTCAATGACTTGCTCAGTAGACTCTTGATATTAAGAAGAAAGACTGGTATATAAATGAATCAAATTTGTCCTAGCAAAATAAGACATGGAGGCGAAAGAAAAAAGAAAGAAGTGTGAAGAGCTTTGTCACATGCTAGCCGGTCTTCCATCTCACACCTGCGGGTCACCCTTGTGATTCTACAAATATAATGAGTGTCTATTAAAAGAAGAAAACTATTTAAGTAGAGAAAAGCCTAAACTCAAAGCTTGAGAGTTGATTTTACCCCAGAAGAACAGCTCAGGTCAAATCAACTTACTTTCAAGTCTAAGGGCATCTGAATCCCTCCCTGAATTCTCAACAGAGAGTACAGGCTCCTCCTCTGTTCCTGTCTCAGAGGGCTCTTCTTCGGCAGCATCCAGTGACTGTGAGTTGTCAAAATATTTCTGTTTGTCATGGCTGTTGTCCAGGGTTTTCTCATGACAATTACCTCAATGACAAGAGACACAGAGACAGCATATTAGAAACATCTCTCTTAGGTAGTCCCATGGCTCAAGGTCTTCAAGTAGCAGGAAGAGCAAAAAGATGACAGTGTCAGTTTTTCTCCAGCAGGACACACCAAAATCAGTGAGCTGGAGCACCTCGAGCCAGATCTTTATTGTGACTCAAGATTTTGCACTGAAGTTTGAGTTTCACCTGCTAGGCCAGCGAAAGAACCAAGTGTTTCGGGGAAAAATTATGACAAGGATCAAGTCCCAAGATCTCATTTCATTTATAATGAATGACTGTGAAATATTTCTTTGAAAGTCAGAAACATCACAAAAAAGTGGTTTTCCTTCTATTTGCCTTTCAAAGGTGAGAAATGACCAATTAGTACCCGAATAAGTCTGGAGATAGATGAACTACAGCAGAGAAATATAATATCCATTCTTGCATCACAGCTTAAAATGAAAGATATAGCAAAAGGCAAAGGATTATAAATTAAAAACCAAGGACTTAAAGAGGGATGGTGGTGGCAGAGAATCCCATGTTTAAGACTGCAATATCACAAAGATGTGGATTTTTTTCTTTTGGAAAACAAATTCTGCTCATTAGAAGATTTACTTTAGTGTAAAAGGTCACATCTGGAATGTAATCACTGTGCTCTCTGTTACTTTCTGGTATATATAGGGAGCCTGACCTCTTGCTACAGTTTTGCCAGTGAGCTGAAGAGCTCTGACTCTATTAGGGATTGTGTGTTTATATGGATAAAGAGCCACTACCCTGCATTACCTGATGACCATTCTCTGGGTAGGGGAATGCGTTACTAGGCTGGTGTGTCTGATGTGGCAGTGATCCGGCCACCTGAGTCGGACTCCTCTTCCTCTCTTATGTTTGATGTGCATCGTCACTGAAGATGCATGCTCAGTGGAAGCCTACCTTTCCTCTCACAGAACAATTCTTCGGGTAAGAGTGTCTAAGTAACTTCCCTCCTTTACCAGAACATTCAAACATGCTCTGCAAGTTTATTTTTAATAGAAAACTGCCTCAAAGAGATGTATGTACCCAATTAAGCTCTTTCTGCAGCAATGGAAGTACAAGAAGTCTCTTTCTGGATTTGAAGATTCCCTTTTAGATTTCATAATTGAGGAAAGCACTTTTCATGCCATTTCTGTTATTGGGCTAGGAAAACCTAATGGACTCAAAACCTTTCCCAACTCATGGAATTTGGAGTAAGGGGACTGCATGCTTAAGGAGTCATTTTTATTTTCCAGTTCTACACTCTCACACATCTGAGGCTACCATATTTAATAAGGTTATATCAGAAACCGAATTTTTTTGTTTCAGAGGAGCTTAGCTCTCAAGCAGCTCATAAGCAACTTGGGAAGACAGTAAATACAAGACAACAAACAATAATGAGGTAGCATACTGCGCAAACTAGGTGCTTCAGAGAATAAGCTTTGAGCAGGTAAAACTTGAATTTTGAGGAATAGGTAGGACTTAAAAACGGGGAACTACAAGGAAGGGAGCCAGTATCTGCTGAGTGCTTTGTATTTTTTCTTCTATTTACCCCTCAAAAATGCCTTGTGAAATAAATGATTTTCCTTTTACAGATAGGGAACGGAGTCTCAGTGAAATTAAGTAACTTGCCTAAGGTCAAACAATAAGTAAGTGGTAGATCTGAGACTTGTCAGTTCTACCCTACTAGAAAGCTTCTTGGCTTTCTACCAGTCAAATGCCACCTTTTTTAGCAGAAAAGAGAAGGTGGCACTGTACGCAGGAAGGGATGATGTGCTGAGCAAAGCAACGCGCACAGGAGTTCTCATTTGTGTTTGGGAGACGATGAGAAACACAGTTTGAGAGATGGAAGGTGTGTGTTGTGGTTGGGTGTGTGTGTGCACCCACTGAAGGCTGACAGGCAAGATGCCATGATCAACGACAGTCGCTGTCTTTCTCCAAATTCTTCCGTGAGAGAAGAGAGGTAGAAGATTGGTTTCCATTTCTGTCTTTACCATCTAGTATGTGCAGGCAAGTATGGGGAAGCTAAGCATAAGAGCATTAAAATAAAGCAGTGACAACAAACAAGTGCACACACCCAACTGACTCAAATTTACTACGAAGAACATCACACTTCCTAGCGACAACTCTTAACTGGGATATAAATAAGCATGACTATTAAAAACACAGGGAAAATAATGATGACAATGATGTTGATGACTTTCAAACATACGTTATTCCCAGTGACTATTCTCTGCTTTCAGCTTTGGTGTTTGCCTCTAAAGCATTTTGCACCTTGACACAGGTTGAGTGAAACAATGTTACAAAAGCAAAGGACAAACCTTTAACACTGGGACCCAGTAAAATTCTGTGTTTTCTGCAGTTGATGACTTCCTCCTCCAACCTCTGCCTCTCTGATTTTTCTCTCCCACTCTCTTCCCATTATAAAAATTTAATTGGTTTCATCTTTTTAAATGTCTGCAATATTTAAAAATGCCTCATAGGTAATTTATAAGATATGATGTGCATAAGATCCTGAAGCTAAAATTAGTCCTCCTGCATGACCTCAAACCCAGACGCCCTCTTGAAGCAAGCCTTGTGCATTCTAAGAATGTCTTGTCCTCCAACTCAGGAAACTGGGGCCAACATCTCAGAGAGAGAAGGCAGAAGAGGGGATTAGGGAGAACTGGGAATAAAAAGGAATAAGAGGGGCGCCTGGGTGGCTCGGTTGGGCGACTGCCTTCGGCTCAGGTCATGATCCCAGGGTCCTGGGATCGAGTCCCGCATCGGGCTCCCTGCTCGGCGGGGAGCCTGCTTCTCCCTCTGACCCTCCCCCCTCTCATGTTCTCTCTCTCTTGCTCTCTCATTCTCACTCTCTCAAATAAATCTTTAAAAAAAAAAGTATAAAAAAGGAATAAGAAATGGGGTGGCTGGGTGACAGACACTGGGGAGGGTATGTGCTATGGTGAGCGCTGTGAATTGTGCAAGACTGTTGAATCACAGATCTGTACCTCTGAAACAAATAATGCAATATATGTTAAGAAAAAAAAAAAAAGAAGATAGCAGGAGGGGAAGAATGAAGGGGGGAAATCAGAGGGGGAGACGAACCATGAGAGACGATGAATTCTGAAAAACAAACTGAGGGTTCTAGAGGGGAGGGGGGGGGGAGGATGGGTTAGCCTGGTGATGGGTATTAAAGAGGGCACGTTCTGCATGGAGCACTGGGTGTTATGCACAAACAATGAATCATGGAACACTACATCAAAAACTAATGATGTGATGTATGGTGATTAACATAACAATAAAAAATAAAAAAACCTATGGGCCTATTATAGGTCAATTACCCCTGAATAAAACTCAAAATGGGAAAAATTAAAAAAAAAAGAATAAGAAGTTTACGTTATAGTATTTGTTGCAAGTAGGAAGAATCAAAATGATCAAGTAGAAGCTACATGCTTTAAGGAGTCACTTTCATTTTCATTAACAAGTTAGAACGGTTAATATAATAGGCTGACAGTTAAAGACAGACTGGTTCAGTGTTCTGTTGTGATTTACATAATTATCTAGGCTAATAATAAAAAGTCACATTGCTTATGTTTTAAATTGCTCCTTTCAGTTGTCTGAAGGAGAACTGAGGCACTTCAGAAAGAAGGAAAGTTTCTGTTCTTTGGGCTACAGTATAGATCTACTCTAGCTCAAAGGGGAACTGAAAAAAGTTGCCTACATGGAAAAAAAATGTCACTTGTCTTCCTGGCAGAGGTGGAGATGATGTCCGCTTTAAAGAAATACAAGAAAACGTTGGAGAAAGAAAAATGGAAAGATACATAAGAAGTAACAAGTCATCTTCCATGCGTACGACTATTATTTTTTGCTGATGCAGAAATGAGGAGATTCTGTGTCTGAGACTAACCTTGAGAGGTACGACTTCTTTTTTTTTTTTAAGGAACTACATGATTTAAATGAAATGCTATAGATGACAAGGTCCCAAGTGAAAATGGAAACACTTTTCTGTGCTTAATGCTCTATACTTGCTTGCAAAGCATTTAGCATCTAATTCAAATCCTGACAGTTTGGTTTTTCTTGGAAGTAGGTGACTACACAGCAAAACCAACTAAGCATAAAACTCCAGGTAGGGTATTTCTGATTCTGGAATTGTTATGAGATCTTAGACATATCAACATTCTTTTCTGTGGCTAGAGTATAGCCTGTATAAACTGAATTATTAATATTAACCTATCCTACAAGGGTGTTCTGAAAAACAACTACATATTTAATTTATCTTGTCAAAGCATTAAATCTCCTAAGGCAAAGGCACAATTTATCCTGTGGCTAAACAGGTTTTCAGAGTAAACTAAATTCTCAGGAACTCCTATCATTACTAAGGGCTAAGGAAATCTCCTATTTTCTCATAATTCTGTTTACAGAGGTCCCAGAAGAATACTTATTTTCTAGAATTGGGTAACCACTTACTCTTTAAAAAGAATGCTTACCTTCTGAATCTCATAAATTGGCAAGACATTCTTGGTTGGGTACTTTAGGATCCTTTAGGATTAGTTATAACAAAGAAATGCCACAAATAAATTGAGAGGCATCAGAACTTTGAAAGAGCCAAGTAACTAACTAGTGCTAGTCAAGCAGAACCCATGAAGGCTCATGTAGTTCTGTTACGCTTAGAGCATAGTGGCTAAGAGCTCAGATGAGCCGGACTAAACAAGTTCCAATCCTATTTCTACTACTTTCTAGCTGTATACAGCAGGGCAAGTTTACTCTTTTTGTGTATCAGTTTCTTCATCTGCAAATTGAGCTTCATGATAGTGTCCACTTCACGGAGTTGCTAAGATTCAGTGTAAGAAGTGAGACCATGGCCTAGCACACGGTGAGCTATTAACTGCTGTCTCTCCGAAAAGCTGCAAAGGAATAAATTATCCCAACCTCATCTCTTTCACCAAGGCCTTCAAGCTACAGCCTAACTCGGTCTCTGCTATAAGCAACTGGCTCTGGAGTCACCAAGGG